CTGGGAGAGGAGAGGACAGGGTGTTCAATTCAAAGGACATGTGAAAAGAAAGAATATACTTTGACTTCACTAGACTCCATTTCGTGTGCAAGAAGCTTTTTGTAACTTTAGCGAAGCATGCACTTTCAGCGATGCGATGAAAATGCAGATTTTACAGCTTTTTCGCCAATAAATATTTACACACGGTCAGTGAATCAAACATGAATGTAAATATAATGTTTATATTCAATATACAGGTGTGCTATTGTCTCTTACGACACTGATGACGATGACGTAAAAATACTTAAAGGAAGGTTATATTCTTTGAATTTTGTCGAATGACTAATTTGTTGCGGAGCTGTTGATAAGATATCGTTGAGTCGTTGACATATTCTGTTTTTGAGATGCTTATCAGGTGGATAAATTAATAATTAATAAGCTACTGAGAGACTGAATGAACATCCATTTTCAAATTGTGAGAAGTGTAAGCAATGGCTACTTTGCCTACTTCTTTTTGCTCACTATGGGTCGTTTTGGTCATTTATTAGTTGATTATATATACAGACTTTTGTTTTATTTTATTTTTTGCTTTGGTTTTGAGTTTATGGATGAAAATAAACAAAATAACTGTGAGTAGAAGTCATACATAAAATTATGGCTGACAAAGAACCCATTTATGTTATTTTTCCCAGTAAAATTATTGTTATATTATTGTATAACTGTACTATATTGCACTTTCATAGCTTAGTATCTTTACATAATATATTATCTTTATTCCTGATAAATGTATTGTTTATTTGTATAATAGCTTTAATTTAGTCATTTATTTTATATGTATAAAATAAAAAACATGAAATAAACTTTTTTTTTTTATTAAAAATCCTCATAAGTTTCCACACGTTCTTCTAGAACCAAGAAATGTTTGCCAAGTACAACGTTATGATCTGATGTTGTCCGCTAAACTACTGCTTCTACACTACTTTCCTTCGAGGATTTTTCTCCAATCTCCCCCTATTGTTTCCAGTGTTGGGGTTATGTCATCAGATTACTTTTCTTCAAGTTAACCAGTTGTAACCATTTTCAAGTAACCATTATGCAATCCTGCAATAATTAAATGTTAAATACTTTATGTATTTAATCTTACTTTATTAACCAATGTCTTTGCTGCTGACGATACAATTCAACCATACTAATAAGCAAAAATGACTTTCGATAAACATCTCACTGATGTTTTTTATCTATTCATTTATTATTTTTTGAACTAAAGTGTTTTCTAAGTCTTTCTTCTCCTGGTTTGTCTGAGCGGCGCCCTCTACAGTACAGGAGTGTATTTGCATATCCTTCAGCCTGAGCATTTCATTTGGCCTTTACATTTGTCAAAAACAGAACTTTATTGTTATTAAAAAACCAACAAGCAAGCCCTGCCCAAATGAGAAAAGGGTAAAGCAAAAGTATCATAGCACATTACTTTCCATAAAAAGTAAAAAAGTAACACCATTAGTTACTTTTTAGGGAGTGTCGCAATATTGTGATGCATTAATTTTAAAAGCAACTTTCACCAACAATGATTGTTTGAGAAAATTGTACCACGGTGAGCTGTGCTAGATGAAAGGATAAAGGCTTTAAAAGCTGCGTCTTGTGTCCCACTCTTAAAGCATCACGTCACACTATCATCCCAGGACTTTTGCGACACACTCACCACCTTTAAAAAACATACTACAAAAAAACATAACACAAGTAAAACACTGTACACATTCAGAGAGATGTTTTTGGCTGTTATTCCATCCCCATTTCTTTTCAGCGTCTCGCACCACAAGCAGTTTTTAAAGATAACACACCGAGTCACACACACACACACAATTAATCCTAAATGAACACATCTGAATGGCTAGAACTTAAATAAGTGTCACTATATACAGGACTTCTTAAAGTCACCATGAAATCACAATTGACAGCTCATCTCTTCTCTTTTCTGATGATGAGGGCGGGGCTATAACCTGTCAATCACATGAGATCCACCAATAGCAAACCACAACCATCCAATCAATTCCCCACCAAGCGGTAACCTTCCCGTCTCTCTCTTGAACCCAACACGGAAGTGGCTGAAACTTCAGTTCATCGACTGGCCACTAGAGACCGGCTGCAGAAGAGAGTCAATCCCATAGACCCCCATGTTAAAATGCCCAACTTTACAGCAGAATAAAACATGTTTACAGCCTGGTACTAAAAGAGGTTTTGGTCTATGAAGCTAATTTTGCCCTTCATGACGACTGTGAGGGGGGTGAATTATTTTATAACTCATCCGTTTAAATTATATTAAGCCTTAAAGGTCTGTATAGTTAGGGGTGTGGCCACTTGAGTGACAGGTGGATTGCCGCTGATGTCACTGCTAGCCGTTTGTCTGCTGTCTGTGGTCACGTTACTATCTCAGCTAATCCCAGCCGCTGAACTTGCCATCTCTGCCGTGGCGTGTTTGTGCATTTTTCGGGAGTATTTCATACAATTTAATAAATACGCATTAAACCTTCGCCCACGCCGTTGGACTCCGTCGTTGTCGAGTATCGAGAGAACATCCAGCGCTGTTTTTCAGTGGTTTTCCTCTTTGTACTGTACATGCACTCATGTCATAGATGTCTGACAATTTCGTTGCTTTTTGGAGTTTTCAGATATAAAAACGTCTATAGATATAGAGACTACACTCGTTCTGCGGTGCCGTTGCTCTCACGGAGCAGATATGCAGATATGCATACCATCAGATGAAGTCCTGCAGGTGTCATTGCTTTCTCTCCGTCCATGCAAAATGCACATCCTTGAATGAGCGCGGACTTCTAGCACATTTACTTGCACTTCTTAGGTAATATCTATGGTTTGACCCATTTGAGAGGCGGCTACAATCAGAATTTAAAATGGACAAAATATGAATAAAGCTCTCTACGAACTTTACGTGCGATGTATGTGCATGAATCACTGTTACACACACACACACACGCTCAGAGCAATATTGTAAGTTACTGCATAATACATTTTTAACTATCAGAATAATACAGCATCACAACACACATAATCTCACTTTTAGCTATGTCTTTTAAATTATATAGTATTTTGAAGGGCAAAAACATGAACTTTAACTATTGTCTTTAGTCAAGTCAAGTCAGCTGTGACTTCAGCGCGAGGCCCTGTGTGGTCGCACACTTGGCACAGCAATTGCAACGGTATTGCCAGTAGCATATAGCATTAGCTCTTTAGCGTAAGTTATCGCGATCACGTCGAGCTCCACCCAAATGCCGCCTCTGTGCTCATTTTCGTTTATCCGGGAGTGACGCGCTGCCAAGATGGCGACGGCCGGCTCCGCCCATTTTAGGCCTCAGAAATGCTCTTCAGAAACACTACGGGTGACGTCACGGACACGCCCCGCCCTACATTTGTTCTTATTTGATAAGCTGTTACACTCAGATATACACTCACCTAAAGGATTATTAGGAACACCATACTAATACTGTGTTTGACCCCCTTTCGCCTTCAGAACTGCCTTAATTCTACGTGGCATTGATTCAACAAGGTGCTGAAAGCATTCTTTAGAAATGTTGGCCCATATTGATAGGATAGCATCTTGCAGTTGATGGAGATTTGTGGGATGCACATCCAGGGCACGAAGCTCCCGTTCCACCACATCCCAAAGATGCTCTATTGGGTTGAGATCTGGTGACTGTGGGGGCCATTTTAGTACAGTGAACTCATTGTCATGTTCAAGAAACCAATTTGAAATGATTCGAGCTTTGTGACATGGTGCATTATCCTGCTGGAAGTAGCCATCAGAGGATGGGTACATGGTGGCCATAAAGGGATGGACTTGGACATGGTCAGAAACAATGCTCAGGTAGGCCGTGGCATTTAAACGGTGCCCAATTGGCACTAAGGGGCCTAAAGTGTGCCAAGAAAACATCCCCCACACCATTACACCACCACCACCAGCCTGCACAGTGGTAACAAGGCATGATGGATCCATGTTCTCATTCTGTTTACGCCAAATTCTGACTCTACCATCCGAGTGTCTCAACAGAAATCGAGACTCATCAGACCAGGCAACATTTTTCCAGTCTTCAACTGTCCAATTTTGGTGAGCTCTTGCAAATTGTAGCCTCTTTTTCCTATTTGTAGTGGAGATGAGTGGTACCCGGTGGGGTCTTCTGCTGTTGCAACCCATCCGCCTCATGGTTGTGCGTGTTGTGGCTTCACAAATGCTTTGCTGCATACCTCGGTTGTAACGAGTGTTTATTTCAGTCAAAGTTGCTCTTCTATCAGCTTGAATCAGTCGGCCCATTCTCCTCTGACCTCTAGCATCAACAAGGCATTTTCGCCCACAGGACTGCCGCATACTGGATGTTTTTCCCTTTTCACACCATTCTTTGTAAACCCTAGAAATGGTTGTGCGTGAAAATCCCAGTAACTGAGCAGATTGTGAAATACTCAGACCGGTCCGTCTGGCACCAACAACCATGCCACGCTCAAAATGGCTTAAATCACCTTTCTTTCCCATTCTGACATTAAGTTTGGAGTTCAGGAGATTGTCTTGACCAGGACCACACCCCTAAATGCATTGAAGCAACTGCCATGCGATTGGTTGATTAGATAATTGCATTAATGAGAAATTGAACGGGTGTTCCTAATAATCCTTTAGGTGAGTGTACGTCACAATTGTGAAGAAAAGACTATCACAACTTCCGTTTCACAGCAACTTTCATGCTGTTAATTCCCTGGTTCTGTTATTGACTCTTTGAGCTCAGTCAAACAGTAACATCAACATGGCGAAATAAGCGCGGGAGCTAGTCAACTTCAGCTAGACCACAGCAGAGATCTATATCAGAAATATAGAGAAGCTCCTGGATAAAGTGGAAAATGAGCGGAGACCTTCATCCCAAACCACAGAGAGAGAGCACTTACACCAGAATCCATTACCAGCGCTGGGTCCATACGAGTGAAGCTTCATTACCTGAGGACATCTGATATGATTCGGCCATCAT